TTGGTACGAACAACAAACGGGGCTGAATCATGGCATGCTCGTTTAAAATCAATATTTAATTGTGATCATCCATCTATGTGGAAATTCATTCAACATTTACAACACGAAGAAAATTACATTTATACTCATATTGTAAGATCTTTCGATGAAGAGTCGTTCGATGAAAAACCTTTCGATGAAAAGTCCATGCGATGAAAAGTCCGTGCGATGAAAAATCTTTCGATGAAATGTCGTCGATGAAATGTCGTTCGATGAAAATACTTTCGATGATTTGTCGCGGACTCATTTTGTGATCGCTGTTACACTTACCATTCGGACTTTTGAGAATTATAGAATAAGTTTATAATGAAATGGATATAATAAAACTTTCATTCAATCACGATTCATCGAAAACTTCGCCAGAGTCGAACGGACCGATCGACAAGATCATTTTTCACAGTTTAAAAATTTTCTCCAAAACTTATGTATGGGTGTGATTAGCGAACATTTTGAACACGGTTGCGTAATCAGAGATTTTTTCTCTACTTAAAGCAAATGGTATTAAGTTTCAGAAAGCCATTTTTTGTTTTTCTTTTCAACTAGAAGAGTGAAGGTAGTGAAAAATAGTGACAAAACCCATATTATAGCAAAACGCAAATATCTGCATATGATGGTATCAAGAACTCGTGAGATCATGTCACAGTTAAAAGTTGTACATTTCGGAACTCCTCCTCAGTTTCGTCGTCGCGCTCGGTAACAGAGATTCTTTTTGTCGATTAGAATTTAGGTAAGAGAAGTATGTGTGTATTTGCTATGCTCTCTGCTCTGAACTGCGAACAGAAACGTCAAATCGGAACGAGAGAACCGACCGAGTAACATGCGTTTTAGTGGAATAAGCACTGTTTTAAATTCAGCTTTTTTAATAGTTTTAATTTGTTCGATAATCCGTTCGTAGATCTAACTTATGAAATTATTGGACCGTGTAGATATTTTTCTTGTTCTATCAACTGCAGTATAATCAAGGATTTTACCCCACAAAAAAGAGCAAAAGATAATTAAAGCAACAAAAGAGTTGATTTTTCACGTTTTTTTATGCAGTTCTGCGGAAACCTCCATAACTCGATGGTTTCTGACGTTCGAAGTCTAAACATTTCGATTATGATGAAACAATCCATAGCATGGAAGAAAATTAAGTTATCTTTCTTCTACGATTCAACCAGATGGAGTGTTCAAATTTAAACAGCAACGCGAACCTTTTTTAAACGATATTCTGTTCTTTAGTAGTACGCTAGGGTAGCTGAATGTTCGAATGAAAAAAAACACGACATAATCTCTCTCCCCCAAAACAATAGATCGATCTGCAAAATAGTTTACTAACGTCCATACGACTACGGGTTTATATCGTCCATACGGGATAGACTTGTACTTCAAACTCACTCGAAGATTGTATTGATACTCAGTTTTAATGCTGAATCTGATACTATCAAAATGTAGAAGAACTAAAAAGAAAAAGTTTGAGTCTGTTTGGAAGCGGAGTGTTTTATCGAAAACAAGACAAAATAGCGAAATCGATTCGTTGAGAGATGATCTCAGACATTGTGATATAAGTAACTTGTCATGGTTATTATAAGACTTGCCTATAACGAGATTCGAACACAGTATCTCAGTAGCACGTGTAGTGCTAAAACATAACGATACAGTCTCGAAAATTGAGAGGACTCAACGAAAACCGAAACTATCAATGGCGCATACTATTTCAAGAGGAGAAAAAAATTTTCAATGAGGTAAGAACATTCTTCGGCAACAAATAAACTTCATCCTTGTCAATGCATTACCACATTCTCTATTAGAAGCACCTAAGCAAATTACAAGGAAAAATCTCTCAATTTGAAATGTAACAAAGATCAATATTCTCACCTAGGGCTACAGAGCACAGACCAATTGAAACAGCTACTGCCGAGCCACTACTCGATCCAGATGTCTCCCCATCTTCAACATAAGCTGAACGTGTGATATTACCACGTGCAGACCAGCCATTTCTTGTAACATTATATGAACGAAAATTTGCCCATTCCGACAGATTTGTTTTACCCAAAATAATTGCACCTGCTCGTATTAAAAGGTCAATAATTGTAGCATCACGCGGCACTTTTGACCCTAACAACGCAAAACTACCCGCCGTTGTGTTCATCTTACCATAAGTAGCTATATTATCTTTAACTAATATTGGTATGCCATATAATAAACTTCGACTTTTATCGTTCCGTTTCCGTCGCTCTTTATCCAACTGTTCAGCTATCCGTAATGCATCTGGATTTATTTCAATAACAGCATTTAATTCCGGTCCTTTATGATTGACTTTATCTATACGTCCTAAATATAACTGAACTAATTCTCGTGATGTTATTTCATACGAACTTAATGCTTCTTGTAATTCTAATATTGTTGCTGTTAACAAATTCAGACGAGAATCGATAGACTGAATCAGAAGAAAAATTATAATTATTTTCATAGTTAAAACAAGAAAAAATATAAAAATGCAAGCATTTTACACTTATGCAGAGAGGAGATATCTGCCTACTTATTCTTGTTGTGCTAAACATTAATAAACCATTAAAGAAGACAAATGTGACACTTATTTTGCGGCAATTACAGTAAAACAGATTACAATAAAATTAGATAACATATTTATGCAATAGACAAATGATTCGTCACGATGGGAATTATTTCTTTCGTGTGTAGCTCTGAATGCCCCTTACGATCCCTGTGATCCCTCTGATCAACTTCACAATATGTCAAGAAAACAAAATTGTGAATGACAATACTTTTCGAACTCACTCTCACACTGCCGTCACACCCCCCACCTTACTTCCACAACACACAGCTAATCGGATCACAGATATCACAGGGATCATAGGCATCATCAGCCGAGCGGAAGAGTGACAGGAGCTATCCACAGTTTTTAAAAAGTGGTGCATGTTAGCGGATAGTGGTTTTATTTAAAAGTGCTGCGTGTTCCTTTTCATCATTATATGAGAAAAAACTAGATTTGTTTGTAATTTATCTGTAAGAAGAATAGCAGATGGTCTTTTGGACCAAGGGCGTGATGGCAATGTGACAGTGAATTCGAAAAGTATTTTCATTCACAGTTTTGTTTTCTTGACATATTGTGAAGTTGATCAGAGGGATCATAGTGAGCATGCAGAGGTATAGATAAAAGAAAGAAAATGTACACATAAGTATTATAGATTGTGTTACATATATTTGTCTCAAAAGAGTTCGTTTCCTCCGTTTGAAATGGATAGTAGTATCCGTTAACGGTACTGTTTGTTTTCTGTTACTTTACGTGAAAAGAGCTTTTTCACGGTTGCTTTTTAGCGTTCCATTATTCGTTAATCAACTTTGTTCGTTTGAATAAATAATTGAACCGTCAATATTCCATTTGCATATTAAAATTTTAATTAAAAATTAATATAAAGAAGGAAGGAAGAGGTATAGAGCGCTCAACAATGAACTAAGAAGAACTACAGAAAGAGCATTCGATGAATGGTGGCAAGAACAATGCGCAGAGATAGAAATGCTGGAAAGGCAGGGAAGAGTTGAACTCATGTATGCCCGTATCAAAGAGTTGACAGGAAACAAGAAAGCAAGAAGTGAATGCAAGTACATCAAAGACA